TGATACGGTAACGAAGTTTCCTTGGAAGTGCTGCAGGAAATGTCACTGGTGTCTCCCAACGCTGAACATGTTTCAGCCTAAGTATTCCCAAAGGGGGACACAGGCATTCATCTGTGCACAGGAGCGGTGAGGAATGTCAGCTTGGACTGAGTGTTTCTGTCCACACATCAACACGTGAAGCCGGCTCGTAGTCTAAGAATCCAATCAGTCACATTTATACTCAGTAATCAGCAGCTCGTTGTAAAAATACGAGTTTGTTATAGTAATTAAATCAATGAGTTGATGATTCCCGTCTGCGGTGAGGCTCCTGGTCCTCGCCCTCGGCTGAAGCCGGCTGCTCTGACGTGTTGTTACATATTTGATAAGCAGGTTGTCTCTTTGCTCTAATTCAGTAATTAATGTTTGAAAAGAACCATTTTTCGAGGCCACTTTATTCCTCACGTGTGTGAATTTGTCTGATTAAATTGTCACGTTTGAGAAACCTTAACTTACATTTTCTTCTATGAAATATGAAGAATGAGCCAATTTAGGGGTTGATTGCAGTCCTGCAGCGATCATTAGATTAACAGGCTAAATAACACCATTAAGGAAAACAATTACATGTTTTCTCTGCGCCTCCTCGTGTGTGTTTGTAAAGCAATTAAAAAAGCACTTTGGCCTCGGCTCCATTTGCCAGAGCCTCCATTTAAATTAACCGGTACGTCCAATTAGGAGCGAGCGCTTCTTTCCTGTGAGCGTCTCTAATGGCTGCATAGATTGATTTAAATGCAAACTAGAGGGAATTTAATGAACTGCTTTTACAGGAAGACTCTAATAGGAGTTTGCACATCCTCCAACAGCTTCACACTCCATTAATTATGCATTGTAGTATTTTTTCCTCAAACAGAGACAAATATTGCTCTGGAAGCTGCAGATACTACGACGTACGCAGAGAAGCTTTCTGTTGTCATTCGATTCAGAAAGATATCCTGATGCTCTTCAGTTTAATGAGAGGCAAAGTAGCAGCGTTTATACTGACCACGCCGTCAGGCTCATCGACGGGCACAGGGTACGTACTGTAACTCAGCACACAGGGGGACAGTCTAACGTCTGTCGTTACCTTTGATTGCTGTGATGCAGCAGGTCTGTGGGCAGTGACCACCCAGCAATCTAACATCGCCGCTGCTTTGGCTTCAAACAGCGTGGGAATGAATCCACTCATGGAAACTCCTTCTGGGTGTGACCGATGTTCCAGATGTTTCCAGATGTGTTCGAGTAAACAAATACCAGCTGATTGATGTGTAAGCATTGTGCCAGTGCTAGCTGATATATTCATTAGTGCCTGGGCGTGGCCGGTGCTGTCATAGTGTCAGGAGCTGAGCGAGATGAGAACAGATGATGTGAAACCTAGGTGCACGTTGCCATGACAACAGTGAAATAAATCCATGCAGACAGTCCTGCATCTCCCCGCTCATTAACAATAATCTGTTGTGGGTTTGTTTGTCTGGTGTTTCAGGTCCATTCATAAACTTGTTCTTCCAAAACCAGTTCAGCCAGTAAGAGTGATGGAC